TTTAGCCAAGCGACATTGGGGTCAGGCGTCTGGAACTTGCTGCCTTTCTTTTTGACCGGCTGATCAGCACTGCCACTTGCAGGCTCAGCGACCGGCTGATCAGCAGCACTGCCACTTGCAGGCTCAGCCGGCTCAACATCCGCCTTGCCGACCGACTCGGTATCGCCCTCCTCAGACACCTCAGTCAGGAGCTCTGCGACCGCCTCGGCTGATCTCTTCTTCTTCTCCTCCCTGACCTGTTTCCTGGATTTTTTTGCGACCGTCTTCTCGTCCTTGGCCTCCTTGTCACCCTTCTTGTCCTTCTTGTGCCTGTCGACCGTCTTCTTGTCCCTGGCCTTGGCGTCGCCCTTCTTGTCCTTGTTCTGCCTATCCTCTTCATCGGCATCTGCCATGGCGACCAACACGTGAATGGAGGGCACTACTGTTTATAATGTGAAACACAACACACACTTCAATGCTGACCGACGTTATGTTCATGTCGCCTGGCTGCCAACCATGTGTTCAGCACACTTGACAGAAGTGGCTGGTGACCGGCAATTGCGAGTAAAGCTGCGGAGCACTTCACTTGCAAAGCACAGAGTCCTGAGCCGGTACGTTGTCGACGACCGGCGCATCACGAGATGCGAGATGCTCCCTCCAGCACCTGAAGGACATAAAGCCGACAGTCACAAACTTGAAAGCATCTTTGTGCTCAGCTCCTGCACCGACCGGCAACTCGGCCAGAAAAAATCACTGAACCTGGGCGAGAATATGCACGAGCTAGCATCCCGAACTAGTGGGCCAAGGATGACCTCAGGTCCCAGCGTCGACAGGCAATAAAAGCACCGAGGAATGCTGCTCCCAGATGTGATCGAACTGACTGAAACAGTCAGCTCGATCAAATCTGGGAGTAGCACGGCCAGCACCAGGAAAGAAGGATGCCTTGAATCGATGTATGCTTCAAATATAATCATGACTCCAAAGCTCAGCCCCCAGCTCACCTCCCGGACCGGCGAAGGCCTGCCCAAGCTTACATCTGGAACTCACCGGCCAACCTATTACCTTAGGCCCCAGCATCGACCGGCTAGGCGATGAGAAGCGCCTGCAAGACTAAGAGAGGTCAGGAGTCACACAACTGGGTGACTCGAAACCTCAGCCCCCAGCAGTCAATGTCCTCCTCCAGCAAGGAGCCCTGCACGAGCTTACATCTGGTATCTGGAATGTGAAGAAGGGACAACCTATGACTTAGGGCCAAGCTTGGACCGGCAGGCAGAAGACGACAAAATGGGCCTGTGTCTGTCTGTGCATCATCGGCTCGACTGACCGGCTGCCCCCAAAATCTCAGAGCCACACAGACAAACCGTGCTCGATTGATGGTGGCCTGGGCGAGCAGAGCTTTCTGTCTTGCGGCTGCACATTGCAACTGAGGGTCCAGCAAGCCACCCTCGTCGCGACCGACAAGACACGTGACCAACCATAGGTCAGGCCTCAGGCGGTGGTTTGCAGACGTGAAGTCGACCGGCAAAAATCCGCGTCCTGCAGGCCCTGCACAAACACACCGGGACCGAAGTCGACCGGCAAGCGATGTGACACAGGGCGCCATGGACCCGGGTCCCACAGCTAGCCCTGTGTCCTGCCTGAGTGCCGGGACCTAAGTCGACCGGCGAGCTCAGGAGTGCACCGGGACCGAAGTCGACCGGCAAGCGATGTGACACAGGGCGCCGTGGACCGGGGTCCCGCAGCTAGCCCTGTGTCGTGCCTGAGCGCCGGGACCGAAGTCGACCGGCGAGCTCAGGAGTGCACCGGAACCGAAGTTGACCGGCAAGCGATGTGACACAGGGCGCCGTGGACCGGGGTCCCACAGCTAGCCCTGTGTCGTGCCTGAGCGCCGGGATCGAAGTCGACCGGCGAGCTCAGGAGTGCACCGGGACCGAAGTCGACCGGCAAGCGATGTGGCACAAAGCACTGCGGACCGGAGTCACACAGCGAGCTCTGTGCCATGCCTGAGTACCGGGACCGAAGTCGACCGGCGAGCTCAGGAGTGCACCGGGACCGAAGTCGACCGGCAAGCGATGTGGCACAAAGCACTGCGGACCGGAGTCACACAGCGAGCTCTGTGCCATGCCTGAGTACCGGGACCGAAGTCGACCGGCAAGCCCAGGAGTGCACCGGGACCGAAGTCGACCGGCAAGCTCAACTCAGCAACAGCAGCACCGGGACCGAAGTCGACCGGCCAGCTGCTGCATCACGAACGTGACCGACGAGGGGGGTTTGAGGACTTAGGGCTTAGGGCCTTAGGGTTCAGGGTGCCGACCGACCTAAAAAACCCAATCCTAAATAATCCGAAGCAAATGCAAACTCCAACCTTACCAGCAAATCCGAAACCACATCCTTTAACCCACACCCGATCCAAACAACGCAAAAAATCACTCGACCGACCACACTAAAACACCCTGAACCACTAGCCTAACTTAAACCCCAAACCCCACACTGGGGCATCCGGCCCATGGCGTCAGGATGATCTTCTCGACCGGCAGGGCTTGAAGGTTAATGGTTTTCATCTTCTGTGTTATTTATTTTAGGCTTTGAGTTTGGGGGTACAAGCATTAATTACAACCGGCGGGCTGTTGGTAGTAAGGGTTGTTGAGATATGTGGGCTATTGGGGCCTTAAGGTTTTAATACCCAAGTGAGGATTTACGTGCCGCCCTGCCCCCCCCCCTCCCCCTCCCTATGTATGGATCCTGCCCTTTACGACCGTCCCGTTAAGTGAGGAGGACTGGGGCCCCCAGCCTCCCTCACTTAATAGAACGGCTGAACCAAAAAGATAAACGACCGGCAGGTGGACCCAAGCTGTTTTAGCAAAAAAGATAAACGACCGGCAGGTGGAGGCAAGCTGTTTTAGCAAATGCAGTTAATCAGCTCACACGAAAACGGTTTCACCACTTCCCCTAAAAAACCTTACAGCTCAACCCTGATAAGGTCCCCCTTCTTCTTCCACCTCAAGCCGTCTACGTGGGAAAGGTGGTCGTAACTCACTCGCTTGTCTTTTGCCCTTGAGCTCTGCCTCCAACGGAGCGGCTTGTTGTTGCTGGAGGACGAGCTGCTGCTCCTGCTGCTCGTGCTGGATGAACCCCGGCTGCGTGACCTGCTGGACGTTGAACTTGATGACGAAGCCCTCTTCTTCTTCTTCTTTCTGTCTTTCTTGTGGCCTTTCTTTTTCTTCTTCTTGTCCTTCTTCTTGCTCTTCCGCTCTTTCTGAGGCTCCTTCAAGGAAAGAGCTTGAAGCTGCTTTATCGCGGCCTCTAAAGACTTCAAGTCCACGTTGGTACTGCTGCCACCATTGTCGCCGACGTTGTGGAGCCCCAGCGCGCCGGCCCCGGGGTTTCCAGGACCTACCGCCCCGCCGGGTGGATTTGCCTGAGCTGCCACCGCAGGTCCAGGAACAGGGATTGGCACCGGCTCCAACCGCCCAGCTGTCCCCGCCGTGTTCACAGGATACGAACCCGGACCGGCCACCTGAAGCTGCTGCAACAAAGCTGCCCCGTCCCGGATGACCTGCATCGACTCTGCTGCGTCCGGAAACCATTTGTCCACCGCCCTCGGCGGGGTACATACCCAGTTCACCTGACCAGCCGGTACCCCCGCCGGCGGTCTGCGAGATCCTGCCCCAACCATGACTGATGCACTCACCTGGTCCGCGACCGGAAGAATAACCACCCACGCCCAGTCCCCTCCATCCTCGGTAGTTGTCCTGGCGAGGATTTCTCCCTGAACCGGGCCGTGCCCTACAATGTAGACCTCGTCGTAGCTGGGGGGCCTGCTGACCACCACGAAGGTTCCCACTTGGTACTGCGCCATTCCGGCCATCCAGGTGCAGGTTAATCTTTGCTCTGTTTGCCTGATACGCAGAACGCGCTGAACCAACCAATCAAAGCTGATGTACCCCACCCAGTTCCACAGAGCTAGCAGCCCGTCCAATCCAGAAAGCAGCAAATACAATAACCGCAGAATCAATCGCACCACCAATCTAAAGCAGTGCCAGGCCAGTGGAAGCTGTTCCAACAAGAGGATACTTCCCCCGACGTAGAAAAGAGTGTGTAGGCTGCTGTAGGCAGATGAGTCAGAGCCCACCGATGCCACAAGTTGCCGCCCTATGGCTCCACTTACCTCACTTGCCAGTGACCTAGCCAGCCAATAATGCCACCCTTGATGAACAGCCAAACCTCCAGCACCTGTGGCTACTGCAGCTTGCACGGTGCGTAGGGCCATCAACCTACCTGACCTTTTAGAGCATCTTGAGCATTAAAGGACCGTGGTGGTCAGTAGCTCGTTGCCATGCGAAAGAAACGCCTAGTTTGAAACACTGTACAATTCCTTAATTAAGGGGTATTGGGCTCTCTGGGGGGGATGGATATGAGCCCAAAACTTATCAAAACCTATGCTTTGCAAAAGCTCATGTTCACCGTATCCGGATGCATCCGGCACTAGCAGTAACTAATGGATCATGGGACTTAGAAACTAGGGTTGTAATTAGGGTAACTCTACTTATAACCCCAATTGGGGTACTTATAACCTTACTTTCTAAGTCCCATGATGGTCCTCCAAGTAGGCACCAGCAGTTTGCAGCTTTCGATCCAGGCAAGTCGTAACTCGAGCAGCGAACACCGTATACTGTGGCAAGCAAGCTTCAAAAACCACCCTCAGTCCACAACCTGCGCGCGTAGTAGTAATGCTAGACTTTACTTACCCAACCGAGAAGCTCAGATCAGTCAAAACGGAGAGCTCCGAAGACAAGCCGGGGATCATACTCCAAACCCCCCGGAACTCTGGAGTGCGTCAGCTGAAACCCCGAATCCTAATCTTAAAACTCCTAGGTACAACGAGTGCTACAGGTTTATGTAGGGTTTATAGGGCTTAGGGAATCCTAATCCTAGATACAACAACGAGTGCTACAGTGGTGATACAGCAAGGCTAGGCGAAGAAACAATCAATGCCAGTATGCGTGGCAATGTTTGGATGCCTCAGCAGCGCAAGCAGGATGCAGCCACTTCCTGCAGCAAGACTGGATCATCGGGCGAGGTCTAGATTGGGATTCCCAGGCAAGGTGGGAGGGGGGGCGCGCAATGTGTGTTTACCGTTGGTCTCCGTTGTAGTTCCTTTTTTGGTTTACCCAAAGGATCCTACAAGGTAACCCCAAAAAAGGAACTACAATGGATACTATAGTTATAGGTAGGGACCTGATATGCTCGATGATATTCTCGCGGGCCGCTGCCTGTACTACGTACTACCACGTAGGTTGTTAGAGCCTGCAGCCGCAGTGGTCCAGAATCAAAATTTCTAACTTATGTAGGAGCCTAGGGAATTAGAGAAGGGTTTTGAGGGCCCACTAATACTATACTCATACTAAGAAAACCGCCAAAATTGTAATGGTAATAGTTTAGTCCCCTACAATATTGCTGGAGAAACAAACGCGTTTGTACGGGATGCAGTGAATGTATTTGCAACTCTGACAGCTGCTCGAGGATGTACTGGCTCTGGAAACATGCGCATGTAGAGCACACCGGCCAGTTTCGCGTTTCATTGGCATGTATCGCAGAAGTAGGATCTATTCCCACAAATAGAACCTCCCCTTGCACCCTCTAGCCATACCCGTTTTAAGCGATGCCTTCTGGGTTCCTCGCCCACACCCGGGGAAGCACAACAAGCAACGACGATGCGTCGAAGTCCGAGCCCCAATTCCCTGACGGTCCAGGTACCCAAAAAGTATATACTTTGGCCCCAAAGTAGTCCCCATATGGGAGTTTCCGAAAAATTAGGGGTACCTTCTTTTGGGGTCCTTATAATAAGGAACCTACTATCTAGCGTACTACATTAGGGTCCCCTATTTTCGGAAACTCCCATATAGCTACTTTATCTTGGATACATGGACCCTTGGGGATTCCCAAGGGCTTGCCTGTGCCGCAGTCCAATACTCGGAAAGCACCGGAGCTTACGTCAGCAGCCGCCTTGGCATGGGCTGAGTCTGAATGGAACTGCCGGAAAGAGCACAGACAGGTTATAGTATGATAGCACAACAACCAGGACCCTCCATGTACCCTGAAACACGGGTATATGGTCCCAAATTATAGGTATTTAGGGTCTGATAGAGGATAGATGGAGGACCTGGGAATCTGCCAGTGTCACGCTCTATGCTATCTTCATGCAGGTCTTAGGGTCTTAAGTTGCACTCTCAGGCCCTCACGTGAATTTGTCTTTTCGATTGGCGGCTTCATCCCTGCATCCTAAGCTTACGCCGCCCTTAACCCCGCAAGCCTTAATCAAGCCTTGAACAACCCTAAATACTACAAGCCCGAAACAGCCCTAAACCTTAAACCTGCAAGCTCCAGACCCTAAACAACCCTAACCCCTGTCTGACCCAAATTCAGAGCATTTCAAAGCTAAAGGCACGCCAACGAACCAAAAGTTAGTCCACCACCGCAGGCCTCGACAATGGGCAGTGCCGAGCGCCGGGGCACGAAAACCCCTCTCCGGAGTCCAGGGCTTCAGGTCAGGGTTTAGGGTTTAGGTTTAGGGTTTAGGGCTTAGGGATTAGGGTTTAGGGTTTAGGATTTAGGGATTAGGGTTTAGGGAAAATGTGCATACTCTAGGGGCCTTAACCCTCAAAATAGTAATTACGTCAATTATTATGGCCCCTATGTTACATCTGTACAGGGATACAGCAATGGGCAATAAACAAAGACATGCCGGCACGAGATGACCCAGAAGAAGACCGGCTTCAGGGACGCTCGCGATGCGATGGTCTATTGGAAGATTGAGGAGTCTGCCTGCGTAAAGGATCATTGGACTTAGCAACTAGGGTTATATTAGGCTAACTATACCCAATTAAGGTACTTATAGCCTTACTTACTAAGTCCCATGATCCTCCAAGTAGGATGTAAGCATAGTTCTTCACATCAGGGTCCCTTTTCAAATCGAAAAACTAGTACCACCCTTAACAAAGGGACTCTAATTCGGAGAACTTAGATTCCGTAAACATCAGCAGTAACGAACTGTACTATAACACTTTCTACCATAGTATACTATAGTCGACTGTAGTATACTATAGTCTGCTATAGTATACTGTATACATATGCATTAATATGCTATACCGGCTGCTGGGTGTCTAGCCCATGCTCCCTGCAAAACTCAAAAAGCGGATTTTATTCTCGATCTTTTCCGGGACCAAGTGACCAACTTGGGGGGGGGCCCTCGGGCAAGGTGGGTTGGGGTTTAGGTTTTCTCCGAGGGTTTCGGGTTTTAGGGTTTGGGGTTCATCTTGAAGGGAAAGTCTATTGAGAGAGTCCCCGGTTCAGGCTGAACAAGAAAAAAACAGTCTTATCCCACACGTTTTCTCCCAAGCACCAGGTCTTCTAGCTCCCCACGCTTCAAAGCGAAAAGCCCAAATCTGTGGTTGCTTGAAAGCTTAAGGCTTCGAGAAACTCGAACATGCAAAGCATGCAGCAATGCCCACCTGGAGGAACACGCAGTGTAAGGCCATCAAAGGTCGCCTTCAGGCACGGCAGAAAACACGAAATGCTGAGCTGCGATCTTTTGAAAAGGCGTCTGCCGCTTGTTGCCGCTGTCTGTGTCTGCCGGACATCAGAAACAATCATCATCATCATCATCATCGTCATCATCATCATGAATATGATAAGTGCTACTACTGTCTCTGTTGTTAGTCTTTCACATATGAACAGAAACACGGGATCAGAGGTTCAATGGTCCGGAGCTTTGAGATTGGCTCTCTAATTAAAGCGAAAACTGCGGAAAGGTGGAACTCCGTCCCTGCGGTGCAAGGAAAGGTCATTGCCAATCACAGACTTCTTGAGGGGACCTGAGCAAGAATAGCAGATATGGGAGTTTTCCAAAAATTAGGGGTACCTTCTTTTGGGGTCCTTATAATAAGGATCCTACTATTTAGGGTACTATATCAGGGTCCCCGGTTTTCGGAAACTCCCATATCGCAAGACCACAACCTGCAGTCCCCCGCTCCTTAGCTCGAAGATTGTAGGACTGTAGACTGTAAGGTCACGGTTTAGGGTTTAGGGTTTAGGGTTTAGGGTTTAGGGTTTAGGGTTTAGGGTTTAGGGTTTAGGGTTTAGCTACAGCCTGTAAACACCCTTAGAACCAAAACAAATGAATCCCCGAAGGCCCTAAGACGTATGAAGGGTCAGTGGTTACAAATCCGAACCGCGCTGCCAAACTTCTATGAGGTCTGGCTACATTATTTCATAGGATCCGTTTCAACACCCGTTTCAAACAAAAATCCTAGTCACTGAACCACAAAGCTTGAAACCCTAAAACCCCACAAAACCTAGCCTTAAACTTAAACCCTAAACCCTGAAACCCGAAAGCCCAACCTTAACACCCCAAACTTAGACTAATGCTTAGACCCTAAGCCCTAAACCGTAAACCCAACACAAACCCTAAGCTAGGCCCTAAAAACCTACAAAACATCAAAAGACCTGAACCCCATCTCCTAACCATCGCTTCCCCCAGCACAGCGGATGGAGCCTCTTCGGAGCAATGTTCGGTGCGCCCGGACCAGGTGGCTGCCTTGGCTTCTGGGCTCCGTTAAGCTCGGCTTCTGTAAGGTACTTTAAGGGTTCCTCTAAGGGTACTTCATGGGCTCCTTTCAGGGTACTTTATGGGTTCATTTAAGGGTACTTAAGGGGTTGCTTGAAGGGTACTTTAGGGGTTCTGTTAAGGGTACTTTGGGGGAAGATACCTTAGGAATTAATTACTGTTCTGGCTTGGGCAAGTATCCCTTATAACAATGCTCAGGACCTTTTGGGTAACTATCAGGGCTACTGAAACTTTTGGGTTTTAGGGCCTTGGTTGTGGGCTGTTGAGGGTTTAGTCGTCAGACCTCTCGATTTTGCTTTACCTCCGAAGGTTCAAATCTCAAAAGTAGCTATCCTAAAAATCCGAACCTTCTTGGCATAGACGATCTGCTGGTATGCTATGAGCATTACGGCGGATAAACAAGGTCCTCTCCGTACGACCTCGTCGTTGTAAAGTGTGGCCCGCAGCGGAGATAATGTGCCAAAGGACGAAAAGCCTCGCGGACCCCGAATACACGCGATAGCACGAATTTGGAAGAGCTCCGTTGCTGACCCTTTCTATAATCCCTAGCAAAGACACAGCAACCCTATAAAACTACACACACTCTACACTACACACAAGCACAGCCTTGTATCCAGAGCCCCCGTAAGTGAACCCGAAGCCTAAGCCCTACCTGGACCCTAATTAGCCTCCCTTTCTGGTTTCTCATTAAGATTTCGCTATATAAATCCTGAAAGGGGTGTAAATTCTTTAGGGTCCAAGTAGATGCTGAAATCGTCGAGAATCACCGTAAAACCTAAACCCCAAACCCCTAAACCCCTAAACCCCTAAACTCCGGTGCCCGAGATGCGCCCCCGCGACGCTGAAGTGCGGTGCTGTCTGCATCCAGCAGCCGCTCGAAGGAGGCTGGTCTCGGCCGTGAGGCTCAGGGTTTCGGGTTTAGGGTTCAGGGGTTTAGGGTTCAGGGGTTTAGGGGTTAGTATTTAGGGTTCAGGGGTTTAGGGGTTTAGGGTATAGGGGTTTAGGGTTTAGGGTTTGGGGTTTGGGGTTTAGGGTTCACGGGTTTAGGGTTCAGGGGTTTTGGGTTCAGGGGTTTTGGGCTTAGGGAGGCTGCTGCTAGGGCAAAAAAGGGGCCGGAATAATTAGAATAGGCTCGCTTTAAGGGTTCCTTTAAAGGGTTCTACAAGGGGGTGACTATATATAAGTTTACTATAGTATTGGTAACTAGGTCACGCGCCCACCGGGACCCTGGTAGCGATGTGAGGTACGAATTGCAATATTGCCTAGGGAAAAAGCTAATTTCTTAGCAAAAATGGGTTTCGAAAAAAACCTAAAAACTATTTCCGACCTGAACCGACAAGTGAAGTTGAAGCATTGTAAGTTCTAAAAATTGCGACCAAGGCAGGGAGCTCTGGGGCTTAAGGTTCTGGGCATCGTACACACATATGTAAGGGTCACCGATATATATGTTCATGCGTATGTAACTTCCTATGTGGTATTCATGACATATAAAGCATAGAAGGCACATACAACATGAAATTACATCAGAGACTCCAAAGGCATTTTAGGCACATACTAGATATAAGACACAACACATGCACCAGGCGGAGACGACATGGAACACGTGCACCGTGCCTAAAATGCCTCATGAGTCTCAGATGAAAAGCATGTTGTATGTGCCTTCTAGGTCTTTTATGTCATGAACACCACATAGATCTCAAACGTTACATACACATGAACATTTGTCCACGACCCTTGCATATGTGTGCGACCCTTACATTTGTGTGCGGTCGTAGAACGGCGTCACTGCCGCCCCCACCCCTAAAGCATGGCTATCCCCGAAACCCCCCCAAAACAGCAGGTTAACACCAGGGACCCGGCGCGCGCGCCACCAACTAACTTAGGCCCCTATAGTAGGGTTTATGACTTACGGCCTACGGCTTTTAGAGTTTAGGGGGTTCCTAAATAGGAACCCTACTTCGTTGGAATCTGTCAAGGCGACATTTCACTGTCCCTCTGCAGAGGCAATACACCATGAATCTGTATGTACATGTTCTCTCGTCATCCATGCGTCCATGCATAATTGCATGCACTTAGGCCTACAAGCATACAGGCCTACATAGCACAGACACACGTACATACATCAATGCATGCATGCTTACATTCATCCATGCATGCAGACAGACAGACTGACTGACTGCCTGACTGACCGACCGGCTGACTGGCTGCTGCTACGTACGTGGCTTTCTACAAAAACGATTCGATGTGTTTGGAGGATCCTTCACAAATTCAGTGCATATGAACCAAGATCCTAGGCCCTGAGCGCCAAACCGTGACTAGTAGTCATAATAGTAGTCGTACTAGTACTAGTATTAGTAATAGTTCTAGTAATAGTCATAGTCATAGCAAAGGTAATATCAATAGTAATATAGTAATCGTGATAGTAAGAGTAATACTGAGAGCAGTAATTCTGGTGGTAGTAGTAGTAGTAGTAGTACCAGCAGTTGAGCGCCCTCAAACTCATGCCGCGATGAGGGGCGAGTCGGATGCACGAGTCGAGAACAGGCGGGGGGCAAGCCAGGAACGAGAACGAGCAGAAGTCAGGAATGGCACGAAATGGAGTCGGCAAGAACGCGAGGGCGCAGTCAGGAACAACCCTAAACCCTAAACCCCGTAAACCCGAAAGCCTAAACCCTAAACCCGACTCGGGGGGGGGGGGGGGGCATTCCCGACTAATCTCCTGGACATGCTTGATTGGGCCCTTGCTTGCTTCCGGACTCTCCCGTTCCAGACTCACTGGGGGCGAGCCTGACTCGACAAACTTTCCTGAACCTATCGCCATCATAACGGAAAACTTCCCTCGAATCCTTCCTCACCCCTAATACCAGCCCTAAAACCCAAGACCCTAACACCTGAAACCCTCAACCCTGAACCCAACCAACCAAACCAGAACCCTAAACCCCTAAACCCTAAACCCCTAAACCCTAAACCCTAATAACGAACCAAACCAAACCAATCCCAACCAGACCAGCCGGACCAACCAAGCCAAAAACAGACAATGTAGGGGCCTTAATACTTAGAATAGGGTTTTGGGGCCCGTCATACTATAATCATAATAAGGAGCCCGCAAAACAGTATAGCTAATTATTAAGTCCCGTATAGCAACCAAACCAACCAGCCGGAGAGCCAGACAACCACCAAACCTCAACCTTAAATTCTTAAATCTCCCCATGCCCAGAATCAAAGGGGAAAAGGAGGGACCCTTAATGGGGACCCCCACCCTATAATGGGCTATATAATGGGTATTTAATAGCTATAGTAAGGGTATATATCTAGGGGTCCTTATTAAGGGTCCCTCCTTTTACCCTTGGACACAAGCTTCGAACTAATCCGGCATGTTGACGCCAGGGGACGGTGGCAGTTGGACGTCAAGATCGGCAAATCTGAGCATGTTTGAATATTACAGGCTAAGTTATAGGGTCTAGGGTGCAAGGTTTATAGGGATTTCAACCCGAAGGATCTGCTGGCTAGACGTTACAATCCGTTGCGACACAGCACTTTACGGCTCGTTTGCCAATCGCTCAAGCCCTGGCACTTCAGTGCGTGTTTGAACAGCATTCCCAGAGACTCCAATATCCCTCACTTAAGGAATATACCTTAAATTACTGCAGGATCCCTAAGGAGACTGTGGAGCTACTTAATTAAAGGATCATGGGACGTAGTAACGAGGGTAAAAATTAGGATAGCTATACTTATAACCCCAATTAAGGTACTTATAACCTTACTTACTAAGTCTCATGAACCTCCAAGTGCAGCTGAGGTGATGGCTGGCGAGGACCTATAATATAGTGGCCTTAATCACCAGAATGGGGTTTTGGGGCCCATTATACTAAAACTATAATAAGGAACCCCCAAAATAGTCTAGAAAAAATTAAAGGCCCCCATATTGTATCATTTCTCCATGCGAACTCAATCGATGCATTCTTTTCTTCCTTCGGGCAAGCTCCGTTCGAGCCTATGCTCAGAGACAACACCCGGGGAAAGGGTCGCAGCAAGAAATCGAGTGCTAGCCGGCGTACGGTCGAGACAGAGAACACATACTCAGACCGTAGCTTTGGTATTTCACATGGGTAGTTGTCAAAATTAGGGTCCCTTTTTGGGTACCCTAAATATTAGGTGCCGTATCAAAGTAGAGACCCCAAAAAGGGACCATAACTTTGACAACCACCCACATAAACAGGAACAAAAAATCTTCGCCACCAAGCCGGTAATCCCTAAACCCAAAACCCTAAAACCCTAAACCCTAAAACCCTAAAACCCTGAACCCAAGTTTGCGCACGGGGGGTCGTCTAACTGCAGGAGAGGCTCGGCCCGGTGACCCAGCATCCTAGTTGGAGGTGCACGCGTAGTTATAAGTGGGATTATCAGGGCCTTTATAGGGTTTAGGGGCTCCTTTTGAAGGCTTCTATAAGGGATCTATAGGGGTTTACGGTTTAGGGGCTTACTTGGAGGTTCATGGGACTTACAAAGTAAGGTTATAGGTACCCTAATTGGGGTTATAAGTGTAGTTACCCTAACTATAACCTCCTAGTTACTAGGTCCCATGATCCTTTAAGGAACGCCTACTTGTCGGGTATCATGGTGAACTAAAGGTTAACCGTTTTGGTTAGACAGGGATTATCTAAGGACTATACTACCGCAAAAAGGTTAAAGGTTAACTACTCTACTACTAGGTAACTGTGACCCCAAAATAAAGGGACTATAATTATAGCCCATATTAGGGGACTTATGACCCCACTCATAACAACCTAAACGCTAAACCCTACAACTATAGAACCCTTAAAAGACCCCTAACAATAATTGTTACCCAAAACGAAGGGACTTCTCAAACCACTTATAACTGCCCATGAACCTCCGAGTAGTTGCAAGCACCCCCAAGCTTCCGATAGAAACACCTTGCTCTATTTCGGAACCAAGCCGAGCACACGAAACGCAAGAGCTACGACGAAACAACCCTCCTAAAACCTGAAATCCTAAACCCTAAAAATAAAAAATAACCCTCAACGCCACAACTCCTAAAAACCTTAAACACCAAACATCGCAAACCCTAAACATCCTAAACCCTTTCCAGATAGCAATAGTCTAACAGCCAGCACGGACGCCCACTATCGGGACGAATAGGCTCCTAATCATCATTTATATAATAGTATGATGATTGCAGCAATAAAAGTCGTATTATTAGAGAATACAGTATCATTAACGTATCATTATAGGATTACTGTAGTATTATCACAGTACTGTGGGAACATTGTTTTAGCATATAGCTAAATCAATCAAGCACTACAATCAATCACTACTGTAGTATTTTGTTACCTACCAAGCCCTGCCCTCCATGCAAAGATAGAAATAGAAAGCATCGCTTGAATCCTACAGAGAAGGTTCAAGTTATCTCAACAATTCACGGCGACAAAAGCTGTGATGCTAGACTGCCACCCGGAGCTTCAAGATCTAGGATGTGATGCCTGACCGGTTCGAGTCGATATGCTTTCTAAGGCATTCATTCCAGAGGCCTTCAATAATAGCCCAGAGAGCCCAATACCCCTTAATTAAGGAATATGGCTTGAATTATATAGGGCTTCATATTATGATTTAAGCTCTATTCCTTAATTTAGGGGTATCGGGCTCTCTGGGAGATGAGGGGAAGTCACTGGAGTTTTGTTGGCCTGTGACAGCCCACAAGAATTCCGTTCCTCACACGCACCGTTCACAGCAAAAAAACGAAGGTGCAATCCAACAATCGCAGCCGACAAAAGTACCACTGCTGTTCCCTTGTGAAGTGTGAAGTATCGTGACGATGTTTGGTTGGGATTCGGGGCCGGGCTTGGGCTTTAATTAGAGTCACTGTTAAGTCGCTCCTTTGCCTATCCTTTCCGAGCATGAAAGGTGTTGAACCCAAACCCTGAGCTAATCACGCGCGACCGGGACCCCGCAAGCGGCGGCGGAGGACTCGGCCCCCGCCCCAAATCGCGAAGCAGATTAAAATTGTCCTACTGGGTCCAAGTACCTTTGGATGTTCAAGACAAGTTCTGCAGGGTAGAGTAGGTGCATAGCAGGGTATCCTTTAGATGGTCAAGGAAAGTCTTACACAATAGAGCAGGTGGGGTCCCAAGCTCTATGAACAAAAGCATCTACTATAGGGGCCGAAAATAACCAGAATACGGTTTTTGGGGGCATATTTACTGTAACTATCATAAGGAACCCTAGGAATAGTATTGGTAACTATTGAAGCTACTATATTGCATCCACACCCTCAACTTTGGCTCTGCTAGGATCTGCTCTTTGAGCCGATCGCCCAAGACCCTAGCGGGAGGTTCATGGGTAGTTATAGGGGTTCAGGGTTCCTTTAAGGGTTCTTTGGGGTTTAGGGTTTAGGGTAGTTACAAGTGGGGTCATAAGTCCCCTACGATGGGATATAATCATGGTTACCCTACTTATAACGCCACTTCTATAATATAGCTGCCCATGAACCCAAGTACGTTGAACCAAAACCTACTTCATTCTTTGTCGGCTCTGCTATAAGCCCACATGTGGAGTTTACAGGGACCTTACACAAAAGACGTAGGATGTGGCAGGTTCAGGTATTTTTTGATTGGTGTTGGCCCGAAAGACTTGAAGTACTTGGACCCAGATCGTTGCCTTCGATATCCACCGGTCTCTGGCTGCAGTGCGAAGGAAGATGTGAAGGCAGGATCGAAGCTTGAATCGTTCGGGCTTAGGGTTTAGGATTTTAGGATTCTGCAGAGTGCACCGGAGATCCCTAATTTAATCCTTCCCCCGCAAACTCCCTGAGCCTAAGCCCTATGAGCACTACACCCTGAAGCCTCCAACCCCACTACTTGGAGGGTCATGGGTAGTTGTAAGTGGGGTTATAAGTGGGGTAACCATAATTATGACCCGTATTAGGGGACTTATAACCCCACTTATAACTACCCATGAACCTCCAAGTAAGCTTGATCGTCCTGCTTTCTGTAATCACAGATCACGTTACGGGGTTTAGGACCTGACTTTCAGTTCCGAAACCGGAGACCCTCATCCAGAGTTTAAGAGAACGTGACAAAAAGGGGTCGACGGCTCGAAGTACGTACAGCTCGGTAAGATCCAGGAGACCTGAACCTATCGTCCGGTTGTTCTATACTGAACTTAGAACCCTAGCAGAAATTATAATTTTAGCTGTTTAGCTGTTTCTTGGGGATTATAATAACCAAAAATTAAGAACTATTTCTAAGTACCCCTAAGTGTTGATTGGCAATGGGGCGGTATATCAACGCGGCAGCAACTCACTGCTGCAAAGCAAAAACCCAAAAGTGTTGTGAACAGCCTGTTTTGCGGGCCGTTAAGAGGCTCTTGGGTTCGGGGTCTCTTCTATTATCAGGAGGTTCAAGAAACCTTAGAAGTACTGCTGATTACTAATTAGACTGGTCAGGCCCTCTTGTTGAATATAATGCCGGTTTTGAGGACCCTGATTATGTGCGGTTCCCTGCCGCTGAGCCACACTGCTGGCGAAAAGGATCGGCTCATGGACTGCAGTGTCCGAAGAGATCCACTAAGGTTCCTTAACGTTACGCCATCAGAAGGGGGCCTTAATGGGTAGTTTAGGGTTTAGGGTAACTAAAACAGTGCTTTTCGTTAAAGGGAATTGTCTGAATTAATATGGTTTTTGTGATGTTTCATAGTTTCATTGGCTTTAGGATCGCGGGCTTGATAATCAGAACAGGTTTGTCGGGTACATTAAACTAGCGTATATATGGGCACTACTAAAGGATGTTGAAGGCTAGTGATGATTTATGTATGCTGTATCCTCTCGAAAATCCGCATACTAGCACGGTCGGGCTCGCAGACAGCAGAAATGCCTAGATCTTTGCGGCTCCCATTCTCAACTTGGACATCAGGTTGAGGATGCAGGTACCACGGTAAACCACCACAATCTACATTTGTGTAGGCTCTTTTCATCAAGCTGAATATAGACTTTACAGTGTAGGCTCTTTTCATAAGCTGTTTTCATCAACCTCAATATAGACTTTAAGGTGTAGGCGTCCTACAAAAAGCAGCATGTTGTGGTAGTTCAAGGCACGCTTCAGGTAGCTAGGATGCCGAGTAACCTAGGAATTAAAAGGGCTCCCTTTTTGATATTGGGTAACTTAACAAGGAACCTACGACTCCAAGAAAGGGAATAAGGGTACTACTGGGCATCCTAAAGGGAACTCCAGAAAGTTGGAATATGGATTAATGGTAGGATCCCCTATAATTTACCATCAAGGGGTTAGGATAATCATATTCCAACTTTCTGGCTTCTACTGTAGGTAGAGCGCTCTGACTTTTGAACCCCGCAAATCGGACCTGCAGCACATGACAAATGCAACGGAGCCACCAAAAACAGAGGCTG